CATTTCCCCCTCAAACTTCAGTAGTCGATGTTACTGGTGCGCCAGATACTACTGCAATGAAAAAGCCAAATACTTACGTATTTATGTAATGCCAACTGTCGTTGTGTATGATTGTTGGTACATGCTGTCGTTGTTTGTACTAAGCAGGAACGAACTATGTCGACAAACACAATCGGCACGTACAATTTTTGAAGCCGTACCTACACACGAATTGAATTGGTGACGTCACAAAATACATGACCTTCAATAGGGGTCGTTTGCTCCGTATATACAAATTAGAATAAGGGTCACGCCACAGTTGCAACATTGCCATGTGGTTGAAACTAGGTCATGGCGTGATGCAAAAACACAAAAACGCAATAAAACGGGGAAGTGGTCTCATATTACGGCGTAGCAAACATGAGGAATGAAAAACCGCCAAGGATTCGAATCATACTAGATAAACACTCACCGGACCCAAAGCAATCGTTTTGGCTTTCCCATTCAACTAATCGGGACATTGAAGGAGTTAGCAAAATTAACAACTCAACGTCGACGTTTAGTCCAGTGGATTTAGCCTTGAAACAGGCCGAACCGGGAAGTAAATTGTACATTAACAATTTCGGTATCAAAAGATAGGGAATGTTTTGTAGATTTACCAAAAAAACCCGAGAACTGATAACATGGGCAATTTTTTTTTACACGGGTACATTTTAGATTTTTCTTACATTTATATTTTGCAATTAATATTACTTACAGCCTACACATTATTTCATATAGATATTGCTAGTGTTTTCTATACACTTTTTATTTAGATAAACTGAAGAAACTATCCGCCAGTTATAGAACAGAAATTTGCTGATGTCAGCATTTTTTTACAATTATTTTAATCCTGTCAGGTAGTCAACCAATCTTTTGTTTCACCAGATACCTATCGGTATAACAAAATATCTTTCCTTTATTTCTAAGCACCAGCATCTAGGAAACTAAGCACTGTTTGAATTTTAATGACTCGTTTGTAATTTCCAGGGTACAAGCCAGATTCTCAGCATCAGCAATTTTACCTGATTTCCACTATCGGGCAAAGAATGAAGACCCTGAATCCGAAAAAAAAAATCGGTTGATTAAAACGGCTGCACGACTTAATCAAATGATATAAAATCGTCCAGCACAACTAGTCATTTATACCCAAACACTGAAGAAATGCAACGCACTGAAAAAGAAATTGAGTACCTTCCATCCACCATGAAAGTTTTACTTCAAGATATGTTTGTTGGAAAAAACGCTGATGTTAAGGTGGCATCCATAGGGCAGGCTGTTCAAATGCATCGCCAGTTTGGCTCACGATTTCTCATTGATTCTCTCCATAGTCATGGGTTTTGTTCATCATATGCAGAGGTACAGAAGTTTGAACGTAGTGCCACCTTGCACCAAGGAACTGACATTCCTGGTTTCACACCCAGACATTTTATACAACATGTAGCTGATAATGTTGATCATAATGTCCAGACTATTGACGGGCTGAACACGTTTCATGGTATGAGCATAATAACGACCATAACACCAGGGATATTGTGGAACAACACCATACCTAAAGTTCATGTCACATCCGAGGATATAGTTGCAAAAGTCAATATTAAATATTATAATAATAATAATGTTTATTGTCTTTTAGGCCACAGGCCCATATGACTATACATAACAAAAAAACAAAATAATACACAAGCACTGGAGAATGTAAAGAAATTGTAAAATACATATATATATCTGTTTAATTCGTTTAAAAGATTCCTCTCATTAGTAAATAGCGCCCTCACTCCACAATATTTAGAATGAGTGCTTGGTCAAAAGTTTGATGAGTCAGGTGCATCTATTAGCTAAGCTTGTTGTACATAGATGGAAATGAGTATAGGAACCATTAATGCTGTAGAGTGTAGTGACAGGGGTGGAGGATTTCATGTTTGTAATGACTGGTTGTAATGTGGTATCTCGTTGTTTTCAAGATGCAGCCTGATATTTGTTGCTTTCTTGGTTGTTCAATTGTGGCTAAAATTTGTGTGGTGGGTGGAAGATGTGTTTATTGTTTGTTGAGTCATTGTTTAGACACCCTGCAGCTTGAAATGGTATGGTCCAAATCCAAATTCGATATGGTGGTGTTGAATATCTGT